CGTCTCATCTTCTGACGACTGCATTACCACCCTCAGACCAATGGCTTAACTGAAAGATTCAATAAGACACTGGCAGACATGTACATGTACGTAGATGTCGAACAGAAAAATTGGATACTATTCTACCATTTTATGCCTGTACTTCAGCGAAACAAGACACAACGGGATTAAGCCCATTCTTTCTCATTTATGGCAGAGATATCCAGACTCCTCTCGACGTAATTTTCCCATACAGTATCGAAGATCCCGAAGATAGTTATGCGCAACATCTGATCACTAGAGCTGAAGAAGCTAGATAGCTTGCAAAACTCCATATTCTTAAAGCGCAAACCACAGACAAGCGCCGATACGACGAGAGATATCGACCTGTCAGCTACAACATCGGAGACTTTGTCTGGGTCTTCACTCCAGTACGAAAGGTTGGGTTATCCGAAAAACTTCTAAGACATTACTTTGGACCGTATCGAATAACACGACAGCTCTCTGACGTGACGTACGAAGTAGAAAGTGTGGAACAAAATAAGAAACGACGGAATTCAAAAGACATCGTTCACGTGTTGAGGTTGAAGCCCTATCTTGATCCGAAAGTACAACTAGACGATGAGAGAAAGCCCAATATTTCCAGGAGACCTGTTACAAGAAGCCAGACCAGAACGCAGCGGGACGCTGCTTCTTCCTAAGAAGGGGATAATGTAGCGAAAATCGCTCTTTTCAACCGCACTCATCATAGTTTAGCGGAGAAGGCGCAGGACTCGAAACCTGAAAGTACCGGGTTCGAAACCCATCAACGGCAAGATGCGCGATAATTGGTTTTTATGTAAATATCCTTGTGGTTAATGTTATCTTATTTATGTAAATTTCCTTCTTATTCTTCCAGAACATTCCAAGTCTGGAATGTTTCAGCATATTCATTCAGTTCTAGTTAATAAAAAGTCTTGAGTTTAGACTTGTACTTGCCTGTTCATTAGTAGGATCCCCTCATCTACGCGACCAATATACGTTTGGTACGGCCGATTGCAACTAAAATACGAAGTGCACATCTACATGTTTATAGCAGTCCTATATGCAAAATTGCAACGTTCTGAGGCTACTCGTTTTTGAGTTATGCGAGATACGTACGTACATACGTTCGTACAGACGCCAAGAAACATTCTCTTCAGAATTCATTTTAAAGCAGTTTTATAATATTTTTGGAGAAAAAAAGAGTCTTTTATTCTATTCTTACGTACAGATATCACGCAAAGTCATCGTTCAATTGCATTCGATAGCGGTCAAAATGGATATTTTCGTTGAAATATGCTGCCTGAAACTTTTCGCGATTACAATACTTCCTCTTTACTTCGTACAAGGAAGTAAAAAATATGATGAGTCTGGTCCTCTGATGGTATTTTTAATATTTGGCAGTCTCCGATAGTTTCAAGTAACCTTCACTAGTGTAATGAATTTCCATTTGTATAGCCAGTACAGATTAACGTTCAGTTATCGAAGTTTTAGTTATAATTATAATAATGACAGGCCGGCATAATACTGTTAAAAATATACAAAATAGCGCTTTTCTGACTTCAGTCTAGGAACTGATTTTTATGACTGGCACAGTGTTTTATAATTGAATTATTCCACGATCATAAGTTAGAAAACTGTAGGGTTAACAAATAATGACTATAGAATATCAATTTAACTTTTGCATGACAAAGATGTATAGCAAATGGAAAGTAAAAATAACGGAATAAAATATTAAATGAATCTGTTTAAAGTATCGAAACGTCTGTATGCACATACGTAGCCTTGAATTTTCCTCCATTCGTAACTTAGATAAAATTTAGTATCGTTTACGCTCAGATTTAATGAGTATTCCGTGTGGTGTGTGAATACTTACTTATTAATCAGAATTTCAAATTTCGTTTTCGAATACGCGCCGAGTGTGCTAACCGTTACACCACGAAGGCATAACGGAAGGAGGGAGAAAATACCTTATATGAAGAATGTGTGGACTGCAATATTTTATTCTTACAATTATATTAAAATATTTCGGTAAAAATTTATTAAAATTGGCAACGAAAAAAAATTTTTTAAGCTTTCTTTTCAAAACGTTTGAAAAACAAATTTAAAAATATAAAAAAGAGCGAGCGAGCGAGCGAGAGAGAGATGGAAGATAGCCTCCTTTATTTGATGATGTAAAACATTATACTAAGAAAATTTTTTTATGATAATCAGTACATTTTATTTAAAAAACCTCTTAAATAAATATCTCTTATAAGGAACTATAAAGCAGATACCAGATATTTTATTACAATAGTAATTACTCTAATAAATTATTATTCTACCCCAATATGTCATTATTACCATAATAAGTACCAGTTCGACAGGATTTGCTTATAATTTAATTTTCTAACCACTTGCTTACAATGTAAAATAAGGTAATTCGATTTACGAAAAGGACGGTATTGCAACGACTTTAGGGGGAAAAAAAAAAAAAAAAAAAAAAATTGAAGTGCTCAAAAACTAAAAATACGTATGTAGTCTCGATCGAACACATCAACCCGAAACGAAAGCAAAGATTAATCGGCTTAGTTGTTGAGTCAAGAACACCGAATAGCACCGATTTTTGCCATTTAAAGCTACGAAAGAACTAAAGTAAAATTTAAAAATAAATCCGAACGCCATCTAAAATTAGAACGTTTGAAAACGAGTGAATTATTAAAATTAATATGTTCATATTAACTATCAGCTCACGAAAATCGTCTTTGTGCTTTACTCCAATCAAAAATGGCTTTTTGTGGTGTTTGACAGCTCTAAACTGTTATAGGCAATTTTGGTTAGGATTTAGGAGAAAAAAGATACTTCAATAAGACTTGCACTCTAAAAATAGTCTAATTTTTAGAGAGATTAAGCATTTTCTGACAAGAGCATTTCATAATTCAAACTGTCAGAAATGACACACTTTGTTTATTATTTTTTCTTAGGTAAAACTTGATGGAAACTAGTACGTCCCTATTGCAGATAAACTTGCATAATACGAAAATAACCCGACACCAGACGATTTAGCCGAGCACAGCAATCCGGTCTACACAATTTTGAGAGGTGAAACTGCGCAGCTATTTCCATTCGTATGTGCGTTTTTCACATTATTCTTGTTTTTAGTGATATTTTAAGTTTTTTGTATTACTTTGTGGGATTTTATGTATTTTTATGGGATGTCTGAGAAAGCTGTGAGTTAATGATAAATGCTTCTCTGCATTATACCTTTTGGCTTATGAAGGTTTCACAAGAGAACTCTACTTCCACAATGAGAAAGAAGTCTGCAATATCTACAGTTTCTCTGTCGGGAAAATCCAAACTCTCTCCTTATCACTTTTGGAGGATTCACTTTGTGACAATTTAGAATTAAATTTAAATAAAAAATAAGGAAGTATTTTTATAAAGCGGCTCACGAGTACAGTTTAAAATCTTGAAAAATTCTGAAGCGAACAGAAAACATAATGAATGTAAATGAGATAATTTGAAACCATTTTGGTAATAAAACACAAAAAATACATTAACTAGCTTGAGCAGAAGAATTATATTATTTAATTTTAGCACAAAGGATATCTGCTTAAATTTCTTTGTACTTTTGGTCGAGAACACACCCAAATAGATGAAATCTAAGGATATTGCATTCTTATTCCTCTGCCACGAACCTCTTGAAACTTTCAGACCGACAGAGTCTACGTGCCCTCATTCTGGAAAGATAGTGCAGTCATGGACATCCATGCCTCTGTCATAGTTTTAATTTTGTGTGGCTTCACATTTTGACGCATGCGCAGTAAGCCTTCATTAACCCCTATACAGCCCCTTAAGCAGATAGCAAATATATCTCCACATAATAAATATTAAGTAATATATCAGCAATTCATATTTTCGAATTTCAGAATGAAACGTGACAGCATCATGTATGTGTGTAACACATTCTATATACCATCCAGATTACCACTTTAATATGATCATGCACAACATTTGCGCAGTTTTTTACGAGCTATATGAAAGAAATTTTCTTTTATCCAGTATCTTAAACGAAAGGAGAATTTACATATATGCGAACGAAATTTGAAAGCCGTTTCTTCAATTTAAGGAAACATATTCACTTTTCCAATTAAAAAATATTTAATATGAATTAATACTTTGATATGTTGTTATTTTGATTCATCGATAAACTGCATTTTGAAAATTCCTTCTCAAGCGATAAAAAGAGAAATTTTGTGTATAAACGTAACAAAAACCAAATACATTAAAATCAAACCACAATCTACCTTTTTTTCGTTCAATATGTATGTAACAATTTCATTCAATCCTAGAATAGCGATTATATTCTTAACACAAGATTAATGAACATGTAATCTAACAATGGTCAAACGTTCAATTTAATTTTGCATTAGGATTATCTCTAAAACACTCTGCTGAAATTCTACTTTCTTCGAATATATAGCCGATTTATTTTAAATTGTGTTATCTTAGAAAAAGTATTTTGATTTATTTTAAAGTACGATTTTATGGATGCTTCAGGAATATTATTTAACTCTTAGCCATTCCAACAGACCAATATTTCTGAAAAAAACTCAATTACGTATAAAATAAAAACTACTCATTAAACTTTGTATCATTTGTTTAATTTGCCATGACTCAGATTGAAAAAAAAAAAGATATCACAAAGTGGAGTTTCATGGTAATTCTGGAAAATTCGATTACGTATAGAATAAAAACTATTCATTATATTTTGTATCATTTGTTTAATTTGCTGTAACTTAGACAAAAAATAAGAATATCACAAAATTAAGTTTTATGGTAATTCACTGAATAAAAAATTCTCGGCCACAGAATTAAATAAAGAAAAATGCAAGATAAATAGATTAGGATCCTGGTTTAAAGATTGGTGGTTAATAGACAAATCACATTACACCTTTATGTTATGACAAAAATCTCGAAAACGTCTGTTATAATATTAGACAAAATTTCCTGTTACTTACTATTTTTGACTGAATTTTAGCTCTTTGTGCAGTTTTTGTCTTTCAGTCGAATCTTGAAAGGGATAGGAAGGCTTCCTGGGCTGAATAAGTTCTTCACCTGAGGATGACTTCTGTGTTTCACTTACAGATTTCAAAAGCTCAACTATGGACAAAAATGTATAATTTTATTATTCATTTTAGAATAACAATTACGTCAATTTAAGAATAAAGTGATTTTTAATAACTATTATGCATTTTTTTTGCTTGCTTTGAATGAGAAACACATCACCGTTCAAGAATCATTTTAGGAAATGCGTATATTATATGTTAAAAAAACAGAGACTACAAGTTTATTTATTTAAATATTGGTCATTAAACTATATTTGCAATAAAATATAACGGTATTATGCATTTGTGTAACGCATTACTTAAATTAATTAGAAAGTTTAATGAAAAAAGATGCAAATTATCAGAAAAAGACTCTGGATGCTGTTGAGTGAAGAGATTTGAAAAATAAAGTTTTAACTTTTGAGATAGTTCCCATAAAGTAAAATTTACAATTTGTAAATTATTCATTATTTTTTAAATAAAAAGATTTGTATCTTTAAGCTCAAAATTCAGAAGATTACGCAACTAAGAATATTCGCCAAAAAGAAAAAGAAAACTTACTAGTTAAAAAATAAATACTGTTTTATTAAAGGTGATAACGATAATTAACTAACTAAAAAAATTTACCTCTGTCCCGCTAAAGTAGCATACCAGGCATAACAGAAAGACAAACAAAAGCTAATGGTTCACAATAAAACTACACAAAATTCCTCATACATTAACCTCACTATACAGCTAATATACAGCACTATACAGCTACATAAATAAAAATTAAGATATTAATTTCGTTTCCAGAAAATTGCTGAGAATTTTTTACATCACAGTACAAAGCATTTTATTTTTATCTAATCCAATGTAAAGAATATTTTTGTAATTAATGATTATTATATATTGATTATTATATATTTATTTATTATGAAGCAGAAGCACATTAATTAAATATTTAACTAATTAAAAATTTATTCGCGAGAATTATGCAAAAAGTTAAATTTTATATTTCCGAATGCTTCCCACCCACAACATCTGGACTGTGTGTTTAGAAGATTTTGTATCAAACTCTGCAATTGGAAATGTATTCTTAGAACAAATATTTAAAGAGATTTGTGGCATTAGTAAGGAAAGCAAAAATATTTTCCGCAGAAATATTTTATATTTAATATTAAAACGGCTATACCTTTTGAATAAAATTATTATTATCATTGATTCATGATCATTCTTAAGAAATTACGAAAACGTGGTTACACATTCTTTTAGTATAAGTAAAATCAAAAGTAGTTTTGTGAAATTGCGCAAGTCGCAATCGTAAGATGTACTGCATTCTAAGAAGCCGCCAAATTGTTGATTAACGATGTAATTAACGAAAGAAACATATTCTGTATGAGTATAAAATAAGGAAGCATATCTTATATAGCTTCTCTAGACCTTTATAACCATACTCAAGAAATAGAAAATTAACACATCTTGTAAGACTTGTTAACATTCCTGCAGAAGCTAAAAAGGTAGGAAACTGACTTTATAAACTCTAATAATTCCCCTGTAAACGTGTAGAATTTTAAAAGACTTGAAATCTTTTGATCATAGTAACACCTTACCATTTTAAAGACTATAAAATTTCTACAGCAGGGTTCTTCGCCCAAGGGGGAATTCCTCCCTGGGAGGAAATTTACAGATTCAGGAGAAATGCTGTCAGTATTTTATTTAGCTGAAAAGTATTTAGTTTTAATTTATGAATAAAAGAATCTATATTAATTCAAGTTGTTGGTATTCATCAACAATTTTTACACTTTTTGTTTTTAATTTATAAAACACGTTAAGAAATCATCGAAATCTAGATAAATGTGAATATTAATTTTTCGAATTTTGGAAAGTAGGAGGAAATGACCTTTTGGAAGTGGTGAAAAAGTGCAAGGGGCAAAAAAATATTTTCTTTTCTTTTAATTTTGAATTTCGCTTTTAGTAACTTATATTTTATCATTTATTTTCATGAAATTGATGTTGAAAGATTAAATTTTGATAATATGAAATATTCAAATATGGACTTTATCTCTTTTATACTACATATACTTAGTAGGCTGTAAAATTTACGTACTCATCAGATATTAATAACAATGAATACCACTGAATTAAAGTTTTCTGATTAGTGACGAGTTGCTGCTCCTTTGGTTTTGATAACGGCTCTCCCACAACGAAGCATAGATTGAACAAATCTACGAAAGTATTCCAGAGATATTGCCTGCCAAACTTCTAGAATTTCTCTTAAATCACTTAACCACACTCCCGCCTTCTTGGCATGCCTTCGTGGTGTAGTGGCCTGCACGCTGAGCGCATATTCCAGAGGTCCGTGGTTCGATTCCCGGTGAATGCGTTGCATATTTTTCATCTTTCCTGCTTCCAAAATACCTAATGTCTGTACAGTGGCGTCCGAACTAAAAGGGGTGTTGGATGATGATTCTCCACACCCAGGATTTGGCGATTGGATCCCCTAAAACTCCGGGTCGCCCTTTAAAAAGTTAAAGGGTAAACCCTCTGAGAAGGCCTCCGTCCTAAGGGCAAACCAAGTGGAGTAATGCGAGCTCAGAGGCAAATTTGAGAGAACCTGGCCGACCGGACATTTGTAACTTAGACTGAGGTAACGATTGTCTTTTAAGTACTGTAGACGTCTTGCATGGTGATGCTGCATACAATTTGCTGATGTATATTCCTTGCAATAAAAATGCGCTGCGTAGAAGGCGAAGTTACATTACTGCACTTACATTGCATAAGGTATTTCTCCCGCCTTCTTGGTATGCTTTGGTGTGGTGGTCTGCATGCTGGGCGCGTATTTCAGAGGTCTTCGGTTCGATTCCCGGCGAAGGCGTTGCTAATTCATCAATCTCTCTTGCTTCCAAAAGATTCTTAATGACTCTACACGCTTAAGGACGGTACAGTGACTAATGTGCTTACACACTTTCCTTCATAGTACCCTAAAAGTGTTCAACAGTGGGAATAAATTAGGTTTCCCGGTGGCCATTTCAGTAAGTGGTGGAATGCTTCTTGAAACAGATGGGATCTATAACAGGAGTAGCTGTCCTGCTGATAAATTTCATTTCATTCAGCATGACAAGAAACATGAAGGAGTGTAGATCTACGACCTTGGATGCAGGGAGGAGGCTTGTTGCAGCTACCAAAGGTCTCAAACATTGCCAAGAAAACTCCCCAGACCACTACTGAGCTACGTTTGCCTTAATACGTTTTCAACATGGCGCGATGGATCCATCGTTTCATAGGGCTGGCACCATATTTTTTGCTTACCATCAGCATGAGATGCAGTAGGAATGAAAAATCGTTGCTTCTTGCTACTCGCCTCCTATCCAGTGTTCCACACAGTTTTCAGGGGCCCATGTACAACACTTAGCATGGTAATGTACAGTGGCTTCCTTCCTTTTGGAATGTGCAATGGTCTCCTTCACTTTTCAATGGTCTCCTTCCTTTTGGCATGCCTTCGTGGTGTAACTGGAAACACACTCGATGCGTATTCGAGAGTTCCAGAGTTCGAATCCCGGCGCGGGCGTTGTATATTTTTTACGTTCCCAGCATAAAAAAATCCTATTGATTCTACAGTGGCGCCCGAACTAAAAGTTGGCGAACGATAATTCGTCACTACCAAGATTTGGCAATACCAGGAATGGCTCATTGCCAGTCGCCATTTAAAAGAAGGAGTATATAAGTTATTTTCTCCCTCCTTTCCGCATGCCTCCATGGTAACTAGCACACTCGACGCGTATTCGGGAAGTTCGGAAATCGAATTCCGGCGACGGCGTAGCATATTTTTCACGTCTTCAGCATAAGAAAACCTAATCACTCTACACGGTGAGAAGTGGTTCTCTTGTGGGTCTTCGACTTCCAAAGCCTATATAGCAGTGTTTCTCAACCTTTTTCGCAGAATGAACCACTTTAAAAATTTTAAATATGTCACGGAACCCTCTGTGAAAAAAAATTGCTTAAACATCATTTATTACAAAATATATCCTGTTTTATTATTTAATTATTTTAATATTTTTATTTCAATAGTATAAAAAATTTGAAGAAATTAAAATTTTTAATGTGAAGGCTGTTGCTGCTTTTCCTTGATTAACAGATTGAATTGAAAGGCTAATTTGTGTTTCTAAAAATTTCAAATTTTATATGGTTTGCGAATGTTCTTCTTTCCATCGTATTGTGGATGTCTCTATTATTGGGAAATGGCAGACAGACGGCTTACAGAGGTTGCCCGTGACAAAAAAATTTTTTTTTTAATATTGATGCAAACATTTTAAAAATTAGGAGCAGTCGGCGGACCCCCAAAATATGACCCATGGACCCCCAAGGGGTCCATGAACCACAGGTTAAGAAACACTGCTATATAGTGAAGAAAGCACTACACTGTCAGTCTATTGACTTATTTAGTTGTTAGTTCCTTATTTAGTTGGGTAATCACTAGAGCTAAGGTTTTGTGTCTCTGGCTATGTACGGCTGAGTCTTCAAGGGTGTTTGCTCCTTGCCCGATTATTCATCCTTTTTCCGCTATCTGTATACTCTCGCTACACTCAAGCTCTTGTATGTTCGCGATCGAAGGCGTCTAAATCACATGTTTCACCTATCATGTTATTTTTAACAACTGCTTAGAGACTGTTATGCTTTCAGCTATACATAAGTAAATTTAATGCTTTCAGATGCACAAAACTGAGACAGCAGCATCACGATATTTTTAGAAATCTGCTTATCCATGGCTCAATGAGACTTCAGTGTATTAGATTCAAAAAGCAGCGAGTTTATTACGTTTAATTCCAAATCCAAATTTAGATGTATTATATTTATTTCATGGGATTCCGATTGATTTGTTTTCTTTTTAAAGGCCTATTGTTTTGACATCATACTTCCTATTCTTTGACTTACTCTAATCTTTTGTTTTTACCTGATACAAAATAAAGCCTTAGAAAAGCTTTAAAAAGAGTTGATAAAACAAAAAACCTTGTTTCCTATTTTCTTATTATGCTGTAAACGGAAGCAATCGATAAAATGTAATCTCAACAAATG